AGTTTTTATTAATATATTATATTCAATTTTTATCTGACCGAAGTAGGGAATTTTGAAACTTTATAGTAATGTGAAATTACATAATTAGTACTAATTTTACGTAGGTACTAAATTTGTACTTGGAGAAAGTCGATTTTTACAAGAAAACTTGAAAAGTAAATTAATTTAGTTCCTATTTCTGATGTAAAACTTAAACCAAGAAAACAAATAAATAGTAGTTTTTTTAACAAGAGTGGATATGATAGCCATATCACACGAAGACGAGGTTTGAGCACGAAGCCGTAGGCGAAGTACTCAATCGTCTGATTGTGATATGGACAATCCACTCGAGTTATACAGTATATTTTTTCTATGACCCACTAACGAAAATCTCCAAATTTTAAAAATTGTTTTAGGTTATTTAGACAAAATAACTAATTTTAAAATAATTTACAAATTTTACTAATTTATAAAATAAAATAAACATGAAAAAATATTTAATTTAATTAGTCCTCGGCCTAGATTCGATCCCGAGCATTAAAATGTTATTATTTTTCGAGTCTACACAAAAATAACTGATTTTAATGTATATTTAATATCAATAACTAAAATATATACTGACAATTAGTTTGACAGGATTGTCACTTATTTAAAAAAATTAAATAATAGGACTTGGATGACCAAAATATGAACTGTGATTTGTGGATTTAATTTTTTTTAAGTGTTCTCACTACCTGAAATGGATATGAAATATATTCGTTTAGTTGAACGCAATAGCATACTTTTTCGTTTTGTAGTCTGTGCGTAGATTAGCTAATATCCCTGTGGGCTTAAAAAAATTATTTTTTCTATACCCTCATGGATATTACCTTATTTACGCACAGATTACAAAATGAGAAGGTATTCTATTGTCTTTAATTGAACGAATATATTTCATATCCATTCTATGTAGTGAGAACACTGCAAAAAAATTAAATCCGCCAATCACCGTTCATATTTTGATTTTAACTAAGTCACTAAGTCAAACTAATTGTCAGTATATTTTTTACTTATTGAGAATAAACATACATTAAAATAGGTTATTCTTTTGGAAAACGTTGGCATGGATGACTAAAGGGTATTGGGTTAATTAATTCTAAAAGTGTGGTACAAATGTTATTTTTTGTAGCTAATTCTTCCAAATTATTTTGAAATATCTTTTTAATATTAAAAATTGGTTCTACAAATTCATCATTTGGCAGTTGCAGATTTTCAAATGTATCTGAATTGGCGTTATCATATGCCTTTAAAAAGCAATAAAAAAAACATTCATCGTGATCTTTGTTATATTTAAGACAGGTATCAGAGGTATCAGAGGAGTGGTTCCGCAGGCCTTTTATTAAAAGGTAACCACACACGTAACTGATAAAAATTTTCTGTAGCAACTCATCTTTACAATAATTTAGGCTGTTAATAATTTCATCATAAAATAAAATACAGGGTGTTCCATTTAAAAAACATACATTTTAATTTGCCAGGCAAAAACGCGACACCCTGTATATCCAAAGATATTTTTAAAATATGTAGGTATTTTCCAAATCCACATAACTTTTATTTAAAACTTTTTTGCGTGTCTACAACATAAATATTGAACAATTACGCACTAATGGGACACCCTGTAAAGATTATATTTTTAATAATGAAAATTTCTTATAATGTGGTACTTATCGGTTGGGGTCCTTGGGAAAACAGAAGAATGTTTTCTTGCAGGTATAACCCTTGTTAAAACAGCTTTTGACTGCACAAACAGAATTATGTTTTTTTTTTCATTCATTCTACTCACAGCTAAAGAGTCAAGGCTCAACGAAATTATGCAATCAACTAAATTATACGCACGGCTCAATACCTTACCTAAGTCCGCTTCTGAACGCCAAAGCCGTCTTTTCCGTCCGAAGGGGAGCTTAAGCGATGCGCGACGGAATTTACGCAAACCGGTGCCGCCAAGAGAGTGTTTTAGGTATATTGTATAAGCTGTGCTAAGTACGTACCTAATCGTACATACGTAATCCTAGTTGCATACCTATTTTAATGAAAAACCAATGTTTTTACCAAATTCCTGTTAAGCGTAGGCCGAAAAATATAAAAAAGAAACACATAATTTATTTAACCTAACCTCGGGGTTGCCAATCGTATGGTAATTACCGTACTTGTACGGTAATTTCGATTAATGTACGATATACGGCCCAAAGTCATTACCGCACATAAAAAGTACGGTAAACGTACGGTATTTTGAATAGAATTAGCAAAGACTTTGAGTTGTGTGAGGGCCGATTCCACCGTTGTGTTAAACAAAGTTGAAATTACTAATTAAAAATTAAAATGACATTGTCCAATGTAAAAATGCCATTTTAAATCTTTTTAAAGCACATGTTTTTCAAAAAAACCTGGTTTGTACAAAAATAGAGGTTGATTAAAATATGATAAGGATCTTTTTTTTTTAGAAGCTCGACAAAAAGATATTTACACAAGTTTTTTTTTTAAATTAAAGTGTACCCTACTGGGTGGCCATGTACGGTAATTTCAATTGCGCGGTACGGTAAATGTAATTTGAAAAGTTGGCAACCCTGCCTAACCTAAACTCAAAATTAAACTCGCTCGTTTTTTTTAAGTTTTGCAAGCAACCATGTTTTAACGGTTTCAACAGTTTGTTTTTTGTTAGTTTTTTATGTTTGAGGATTTAACTATTAAATGTTTCTTTAACTAAATAATTGTGTATAATTTATTATAATTGAACAAGACAGTTTTTTAGACTTTTTAGTGCGTGTTATAAGTACATAGTTTCGTCATTTTACTCTGGTGAGTGGTTTTATTTTAATTTTAAAAAATTATATGTAATAAATATAATTTATAGATTCAACCCATCCCATAGTAAAAATTACAAAAATGCTACAAAACAATTGAAAAGGTTTAAGGAAATAAATAAACAGGCGGTATCTAATATTTTAGACAAAAAAAGTGATATTTTACAGAGCCTGATAATTTAATTTTGGATTTTGTCAAAAGTAGTATGGCTGCTAACTTAATAACTAATCAGCTGGCAACACATTATAGTTGGCCGCAGTTGTAGTGGGTAAGATGTTTTGATTTTTTTTATTTTTGCATGCCAGTTTCCATAAAGCCGCATTTAGATGTATCCAGTAACTGGTGCCAGTCTCACTATCCTGCCAGCACTGGCATATTACTGGCAACGTGTGAATACTTTTTCGTGCAATACAGCGCTGGAACGAATAGAGATCGCGTCTATTTTTCTTGCCAGTAACTGCAGCCTCTTACCCCGTAACACCCGCGCCAGTATTGCCGGCAACGTTTGAACACCTTTGCGACAGTCGCTGTCTCTGGATGTCTCGCTGTCATAACCTACGAAGTCTGATCAATGGATAGTTTTAAGCTTGTTGAACTATACCAAGAGCATGAATGCTTATGGAATATCCGATGTGACGCCAGTGCCGGTTTAAGGTAATTTTGCGCCCGGTGCTACTTGTAATCGTCGCCCTATCTATTAATAATTTATACATCTTAGATTATTGAATTTGTATATTATTAAAAAAAAACAAAATTACAAAATTCAAAAGTATTATAGTTATAATGTCACAACATCAATAAACCATAATTATTATAATAGTCAGAAACAGCTATAAAACTAGTATGCAAACAAAAATAATAAAATAAAACAAACAAAAATAATAAAATAAAACAAACAAAAATGAAAAAAATGAGATTAAAGAAAAATGGAATGAAAACAAAATACCAGTCTAAAACATAAGTTGCCATTCTTGTTTTCTACAATATTATCTTAATAAGTACTATCATTAATACATTAAGAAACTGTTGAAACTAAGTAAAAATAAACTATAAAAATAATAAATAAACAAATAACGAAAAATATTATTGCTAATGCCCATATTCTAAAATATTGACATGTTATGTTTAATACATTTAGGAACTGTTAAAACTAAGTAAAAATAAACTATAAAAATAATAAATAGACAAATAACGAAAAACACATAATCAAACATAGTCCATAGTCCACCACCCCTTTTTATTACGGACTACTAACAGGCTGAATCTTCGTGAGACGAGACGCCCAACTTTTCTCTCTGCGAAAATTCTTTAAATTTGAAAAAGTTAGAATTATTTCGTTAGTATCTAAAGTTTTTAAAACATCTGAATTTATTGATAATACTGCTAAAGAGGTCAACTTTTATTGTGCAATTGAATTGCCAAGATACGTTTTCACCCGTTTTAGAGTAGAAAATGTACGATCCCTTTGGCATTCGTTACCATTATAGAAAAAAAAAATTCGGAGGCATACATTTAAATTTGGGAATGAAGACGTAAATTTATTTTTATGTAACAATTTTACTAAATCTTCGAGAGATTCAAATTTAATTTCATCGTTTAGTTCATTTAGGAATTTTTTGAAAATTCTTGAGGAAAATGCTCGTCTAAGTCTTCCATATATGTCTCTTTTTAACCAACTTCAAAAAAGGAGGAGGTTATCAATTCGTCACGATATTTTTTTTTTATGTATGTTCAGCGATTATTCTTTAACACGGTGTCCGATTTCAATGATTCTTTTTTTGTTAGCAAGGGGGTAGTTCAGGGGTGGTCCCATATAAATTTAGTCAAAATCTAATAATTGGCTCCATGAGAAAATCCTTAACCGACTTCAAAAAAGGAGGAGGTTATCAATTCGTCACGGTATTTTTTTTAAAGTATGTTCAGCGATTATTCTTTACCACGGTGTCCAATTTCAATGATTCTTTCTTTGTTAGTAAGGTGGTACCTCAGGGGTGGTCCCATATAAATTTGGTTAAGATGTGGTGATGGCATCTGCACGTTTTTGAAGTCGGTTTTTTTTTTAATTTTTAAGATTTAGAAGCTTATAATTTTTGTGCATTTAATAATATAGCTTTGTCACTTAATTTTTTTAAATTAAACAAAAATTCTTAAAGAGCTGAACATGTTTTGTACACTTCGGATCAATGAATAATTTCTGTTTGAAGATTGTCAAGGATTGGTAGGTAAATCTGCGATCTCATTTTCTTTCTAGGATCCAAAATAACTTCTGTATTCGGTTCCTCAAAATGCCTCTTTCTTTTAGTGCTTCGCCGTTCTGTGTATTTTTCGTTGCCAGTTAAAGCTATTCCTTTGGCTACATATTGATCAAACTCGTTTCCTAAATATTAAAAGTATTGGACCAATGAAGATAAAAGGTTAGATGTAGTACTTATATCCATATTCTTTTGTTGTAAAGCCTTATTTATATCATTAGTTCGGTGTAAAATATCCAACCAAAATGTTAAAATAATGCCATTTTCCAGAAGATCTAATTTCTCGGCAAAAGAAGCCGCTTCAACTCTCACTACACTTTTTTCTTCTCTATTTTGAGATATTTGCTCTAAATATCTTTTTATTGATGCGTAACTATGTCCTAGGACTTTAATGGTATCAAATCGTGATGACCATCGTGTAGTGTTAACTCTCTTAGGTAAAAGTTTTTCGTTTTCTGAAACTTTTATAAACTGAGATAACAAGTTCCATTTGTATAAAGATGCCGTAAAAAACGTGTAAATACCTTGTACCATCATAAAGAACGCCGTAGATTCCAAACAGCAGTCTGCTGCATTTTGCACAACTAAATTTAGCGAATGTGCGGCACAAGGTATATAAAGTGCTAAATTGTTCGTGCCTTAATACGAGCCTGTAACCCAGAGTAATTTCCGCTCATGTTGCTTGCATTATCGTATGACTGACCCCTACAGTCTTTTAACGGTATTTACATTGATTTCAAAATATTCAGGACGGTATCTTCGAGTTCTTTCGCACTATGTCTAACGTTTTCTTGAAACCCCACAAACCGCTCAAGTGGTAATCCATTACTATCACAATGGTGGATTATATCTGGCGTAGAATCCGCTCTTGCTGAATTATACTTATTAACTTTAATTTAAAATTTCATTTGATAAAATCACTATAAATTCATCGCAAATATCTTTTGATAAATAAGAAATAGTGCCCTTTCCAGGATTTGCAAGTTTTCTTATATGATCTTTTAAAAAAAGATCATAGTCAGACAAAAGTTCAATCACACCCAAATAATTGCCGTTATGATCTTTGTCTATCTTTTCATTACTACCTCCAAATGCTAACTCTCGTGTTGCTAAAAATTTTATAACACTAACAATTCTTTTTAATACGTTAATCCAATACTCCTTTGCTCCGTTACATTCTTTTTCAAGTTTATTATCAATTAATTTTTTTCTTACTCAGTACCCTCGAAAACGGGGGTACAAATAATGTTTTTTATTTCTGTCGCAAATACTAGCCATTTGTTTTAATTTTCCGACTCCTTGACTCCACTAATATAGAATAGAAATAACGTAGAGTACCGAGTACCTATAACCCAAAATAAAACATATTATTTTTTAATAATCATATTTTGACTTACCCAATTTATCCACATTACTCTCAACTCTTAATCATTAACTAAGTCTTATTTGTCGTCCCGATTAAATGAAGAAAACTTATGCACTTACTAACGCTAAACGAAAAAATAACAAAATGCACTCTAATACTCTAATGCAGCGTTACTCAAAGTGTGGTCCGCGGAGCCCTGTGGGGGATCCGCGAAGAAAATAACAAAAAAAAGCAATACCTATCGCTACAACGCGACTTGGCTTGAGGACCTAGGTGTATATGAGTTTGGTATTTTGGGTTGAAGGACCTATTTTTTGAGAAGTCAGAAAGAGGAAGGAGTATATGATTTTGGCATTGAGGACCTTTTTTTTTTAGAAGTCAAGAAGAGGGATGGACCTGGCAAGAGGCTAGAGCAAGGAGGACTTTTTTTTCCGAAATGTGTTTAGGGCTCTGTCAAATAGATGATGATTTAATGATTTACAGGCCCAGGGTCGGCGCCAATTTTATAAAAGTAAGAGTGGAGATTTGAAAGTGCGAGTGAAAATATATATACATTTTATTGTAATTGTACCTAATAATAATAAAATAATATTTTAATATCATTAGTAGTGCTCTGCCTGCGCACCACCCTAATACGATTTGCCGCCCGGTACTAAAGTCCCAAATAGCACCCATGTAAAACCGGCACTGTGTGACGCATATAAAAACAAAGAAACGCGTATATTGGCTCTACAAAAAATTCAGAAAGAGATGGGTATTGAAGGCCTTACGATTCAATTCGAAATAAAAAACAAAATTAAAAGTATTAGAAGTACATACTATTTAGAAGTCGATAAAATCAAGAAATCGACCAGGTCTGGTGCTGGAGGGAACGTTTATGTACCGAAAGTAAAATGGTTTGATGAATTAAATTCGTTCATCAAGGATGTGGCAGTAAGACGAACAACTACGGTAAGAAAATATATTTATTAAATATTTTATATAAAAAATCACTTCCTTCGTTTATAAAGAAATTCTTCTATTTATCCCTTTTCTCTCTGGCAATAATTGCTGAATGGTTACTGCCTTGACTTGAGTTGCTTCGTAAGGCAGTTATTTCGCTTCTCCAGGAACCTGGTATACAATTTCCCTCTTGATCGTCCCTATCTATACATGTTGCAGTGGTATAAGATTTCGATTTTTTTCGCAGCTAATTATGGAGTGCACAAGCTGCAAAAACGATTGCATCTACCGAATCCAAGTTAGTAGGTATTGGCTTTTCAAATATACGGAATCTACTAAGATTTCAAAGGCATTTTCGATGATACGTCTGGCACGTGATAGCCTGTAGTTAAAAACTTTTTCTTCTGCACTGAAGTTTACTCCTGGATAAGGCTTCATTAAATATGTCTTAAGGGCAAATGCTGCATCTCCAACTATAACTCCATCTTCCGGTAACAAGCCATTTTCCAGAGGTTGGAAAATGGAACAGTTCTTGAAAACGCCTCCATTAGATGCACTGCCACTTGCGTCAACGGCGATGTATGTAAAACAGTAGTCGTAATAGGCAAGTGCTAATAATATTATACTGCTTGTTTTTTTATAATTAAAAAATTCACTCCCACTTTTCGAAGGAGCTCTGATCCCGACATGTTTTCCATCTATTGAGCCATAACATGAGGGAAAATTCCATTGATTATTAAAACCTGCTTCAATAATTTTTCATTCGTCTTCTGTATTTGGAACCTAAAAATTAATTAAAATATAAATAGATTTTTTCTACGTTCATGCAAAAAACAAAACTTTAGTGCAATAAAAATTTTATTGCACTCATCTGTCATTATACTACAGCGTTTTATGATCATGACAAACATAAATATTCAAATCAATGCCAAATATTTAGTCCATTTTCATTTTCTGTGTTACGTTTTAAAAACAATTGCATATTTTATATTACTTTTAATCATTTAATAAATAAATTAATAAAAAATGTATTTTATTAAAAATGTGATTACAAATTATGAACACAAACGTAAATAAATGCCTCAAAGAAAGGTACACGATCACAACTACTATGATTTGGATAATACAACTGCAGTTCTATAAAACATGTTTTGGTTTTTGCATGAACGTAGAAAAAATGTTGTATGCAACTCGTGCAAAAAGTGTTTATTGCACTCCACGTGTTGCAATAAACACTTACTTTTTGCACTTGTTGCATAAATAACTATTTTTATTCTCTTCTTATAATTTTTTATTTAAGTTTTATTATCTATTTAATTTTCTCTTTTTTGTAGGATAATTTGCAAAACAGTAATACATATAGCGAATTATTGTGCATAAAAATGTCAGCTAATATAGATGATAAAGACGAGCCCATAGCTAAGCTAGTTGTTTGTGTAATGATTTTATTGTTAAAAGAAGAAAAAATATATATTAAAATTAGATAAATGGGAATGAAATCCAAAACTTCTAGTATCGGTACATTTGTAAACAAACTAGATATCCCTACAAATCACATATGGCTACTCTCAAATTTAATCTAAATTCTAAAATATGTGTCTATGATCATCACTAATTACATTCAAGTCAATTAAAAAAGCTTAGAAGTTATAAAAGTAATTTTAAAAAACTACTTTAAAATCGTGAAGATGCCAATCACCACATTTTAATCAAATTTATAAGTGACCACCCCTGAGGTATCCCGTTACAAAAAAGAATCATAGGAATCGGACAAGGTGGTAATTATCGCTAGACATACATAAAAAATGAAGAGTTAGGATTTTTTAATGGACCAAATTATTAGATTTTGACCAAATTTATGTGGGATCACCCCTAAAGTACCCCCTTTGTAATAAAAAGTCTGTTAAAAATGATAATTTAGTCGCATACAAAACACAACACAATAGAGACATTCTATAAAGAGGAATAAGTTTGCTCTACATTGTTTGTTCCTCGACATCACTCAGGAATTTGGTATGGTCTGACATTAAAGAAATCAATATTTACAACTTCTAGAATCGTATATAACCAGAGTGAAATAAGAGGAAGAATGCTCCGACATAAAATAAACGAAAGCAGGAGAACATTCTTGGGCCTGTCTTGTATCTACATACAATGTACCAGAAATAATATAACTAGTATAATACCCTATTTTCACTAGTTGTAATTATTCATTAAATCTATTAGATCTCAAGCAATTCTTCTAATATCATAGTTGTTCAATATATTATAGGTACTTTTGTTTTTGGAGAACACTATAAGAAATTTTCTATTAAAATTTAGGTTAGCAGGTATCTTATGTGAGAAATTTTTATGAGATACTTACTACTCCATTGTTCAAGTGTTCAACTTCGAACTAATATATCCGAAAATAGTGCTTGGTTTAATTTATCGATAAAGCGCTTAATACATTGAACAAGAATGAATGTTTAAATCAATGCTTTCTGAACAAGAATTAAATATTTGGTAAGGTGAATAAAAGCAAGCATTGGCTTTTACTTACTAATTTTTGAGCGAATACTTGCTAGTAGGTGAATAATAAACGGCTTTACTTACGCTCGCGAAGCAAAAACTTGCAAACTTAAGTTATTACTTTTGTAGCAAGTACTGCCTCAAACTAATGAGTATTTACTTTTTCTGGAGTGAATAAAAGCAAACAAATACTTTACTTATGAAGTAAATACTCTAATTTTTTCAAGGTTGATATGAAGTGACCTTACAGTAAATTTTATACCTTCTAAGTGTTTAAATTATGGCAGCATTCATGAATATTCGCGAAATTAAACAATATCGCGGCCATAGAGATCTAAGCCCAAACAGCGTAAAACGTATTCTAAGATTTGAAACTAAACATGTCGATTTCATTACGGACTATTTTCTACCAAACAGTAATGAAACTCGAGGCGGTGCTCTCGCTCCAGGAAAGCAAATGGAAATATTTGTCAGGTATATAAGTGCCCCTGGGTTCCAAAGCGGTGTTGCAAATGACTTTGATGTTGACAGAAACAACTGTTTGTAGGACTGTGGACTATGTTGCACAAAAAATTATGGAAAAGGCAGATCAATGGATAGTTTTCCCTTCATCTGAACTAAATTTAAATGAGACAAAGACAATGTGGCAAACAACATACAGAATTCCTACAGTAATTGGTGCATTTGATTGTACCCTCATAGTTATTAAAAAGCCTAC